AGCGTCTTTTAATTTCATGGCTGCAGTCACCATCTGCAGTGATTTTGGAGCCCCCCAAAATAAAGTCTGCCACTGTTTCTACTGTTTCCCCATCTATTTGCCATGAAGTGATGGGACCAGATGCCATGATCTTAGTTTTCTGAATGTTGAGTTTTAAGGCAACTTTTTTCACTCTCCTCTTTCACTTTCATCAAGAGGTTCTTTAGCTCTTCTTCACTTTCTGCCATAAGGGTGGTGTCATCTGCATATCTGAGATTATTGATATTTCTCCCAGCAATCTTGATTCCAGCTTGTGCTTCATCCAGCCCAGCATTTCTCATGATGTATTCTGTATAGAAGTTAAAAAACTCAAGGACATGGAATAAAAGATGGCAGTGGAGGCAGGCAGTGAGAGAGGAAAGAAGGGACAATCAATTTAGTTTGGACATGTTGAGTTTGCTCTGCCTATCAAACTTAAAAAGAAAATACACCTAGCAAGCAGGTAGATCTAGGCATATAGCTCAAGACAGAGATCAGATTTGGGAGTCAGCATAAAGAATTAGAAGGAAAGATAGTCAAGGGTGAGCCATGGTTGACACTTAATACTTGGAAATGAGCATAGGAAGAGATGCTGCCAAAACCAAGAAAGGATAAACTACTAATGGAGAATGAAGAAGCTGAAATGGTGTTTTGCTAGAGAGGGATGTAGGAGTGTGATAGATCTAATAACTGGGTTTTGCAAGCATTTTATTTGTGTTTATAGAATAGACACATACCATTTCAATGAGGCTTTGTAGTGGTGGTGATGGTTTACTTGCTAAGTTGTAGCTGACTCTTACAATTGCACAGACTGTAGCCCACCAGGCTCCTCCTCTGTCCATGGTATTTCCCAGGCAAGAATACTGGAGTGGGTTGCCATTTCCTTCTCCAAGGGATCTTCCCAACCCAGGGATGGAACCTTCATCTCCTGCACTGCAGGTTGTCCCCTGCATTGCAAACAGATTCTTTATGGGAGCCACCAAGGAAGTCCTGATACATGATTAAATATACTACATCCTTTTACTTCCTGTGATCCATGGAACAGTGGCTTGATATCCTAGGAGCTTGTTAGAAATGCAAAATCTTGGCCCACTCCAGTTTTGCTGTATCAGAATCCAAATTTTTAATAAGCTCCTCAGATGACGTGCATAGATTCACAGTCAGTACTTCTGAACTGAACAAGAAATAAACTGTATTGTTCTTATTTCTAATAGGTCTCCAACTTTAGTCCATGTGATAACACCTGGTCAGATTATCTTTCCAAAATAATGATTTACTATGCCAATTCTGCTCTTAAAAGAGCGGTACATTTAAGCAAGTTGGGTAGTTTTGCCTGGATTGCAAATCCTTTCAAGATTTGGCCTCAAATTTCTATCAAATTTACACGTATCCTTCTTCCTAGACCTCCTATTTTAAACAGCCTGTCCTGACCTAAGTTGTTCATTTCCACTTCTCTGTTTCTGTTCATTCCCTGTTTCCTACTTGGTTAACACATTCTTTCTAGCTACACAAATCCTACCCATCCTTTCTGTTCTAGCTAAAAATTCCCCCTTTTAAAACTCTCACAGACCATTCCAACCTATATCATGCTTATCTTTTGACATATTTATATTTATTCTCTTTTCTTCATAATGATAGTTAATTCCAAGAAATTTAGATTTCATTTCCACCTCTGCCACTCACTTGTATAATTCTGGGAAAGTTCAATTAACATCTCTGGGTTTAAAAATTCATCTTTTTCATACATGTGGCCAACAGGCACATGAGAAGATGCTCAACATCACTATCCCATCAGAGTCACAGTGAAATGTCACTTAACACTTGTCACAATGGCTATTATTAAAAAGACCACAAATAACAAATGTTTTATATAGTCTTATTCTTCAATTTTAACATTTATTGTTAAAGTTATGGAAGGTGATAAGAAAAAGAGCTGAGAAATCTAATCATGTAGAATTTAAACCCAGACTGAAACATTTTGAAAGTAATAAAAATAGTACTCTTACTCCCTACTGTTATCTGCCTAGCTGAGTAAGGGTTCTGTGATTGCTGACATTTTGAGTTATTTCTCTCCCTGCTTTAAACATAGGGTAGTTTCTCTCAGGACTCTGCTTATTTCCCTGGAGAGTTTCACACAAAGGCTTCTGTATAACAACCTTTGTTTCATAAGCAAATGTCTTATACAGGAAAAAGAATGAAGAGGGAGGCAACCTTCACAGAATATCAACAGGCTACAGATTAAATGTACCTTGTTTCCTCTGCTAAATTCCCAGCAAAGATTTCCATCTGAACAGTTATAAATTCTTTCCTCCCACATTCCACCTCTGCATTTTAAACCATTTACTTTGGGCTTTTTCAATATAGCACTCTAAGACTGAGAAAATTTAGATTTGCATCAATTGTACTTTAAAAAATTGTTCTCAGTTTTATGTAAGGTATTCAGTCCAAGAAAAGAGTACACTAAAGATCTGCACATTCTCAGAATTGCCTATATCTAGCTTACAGTTTTGTTGTTCTTAATTAATTATTGGGAAATTATTGGTACATTAATTATTGGGAAATGTCTATAGCAAGTCAACAATTAGCCCCAGACAATCAAATATTAGCTTATCAACACAGTAACCTTTTAATAGTGTTTTGGCTTTCATAGTAACACAATGCAACATGTAGTATATATAACAAGTTACTTCCTTTTTAATACAAAAGTACAACAGTAGGAGGAGAGAATGAACAGAATTGTAGTCTAGAACAGCGTAAGGTAAAAATGATACACACAAACAAAAAGCACCTATTACCTTATGATAGTCTTAGAGCTCATGAATGCACCTGGTGGCAGGGCCAGAGTTAGCAGTGGGTAGGAAACAAACTCAAAATCTGGTGAGTTTGTTCCTTAGAACTTCAGGCCTGCTCTGTGCTGTTGGAACTCTTGGATTCATCCTATTTCTTTTCAGAAATTAATTTTTGTCATCTTTAAAGGTGTATCTGCATCAGGATAATTTTTAGATATGACCGTCTCTGAGAAATGTACATCAGGCCTCGCTCACTTAGGCTGGCAGCAGAGGGGCAGAAGGAAGTATGAAGGAAGGGATGTATGTATATTTATATTTTGATGATAACCATCCATGTGTGTGCATCTCTTGATTGTACAACAGGGATGCATTGTTAAGTATTCAACGGAAACATATTTCTTCAACAGTTTAGATCGGATAATGATGAACCCTCTTAGAAGTATTATACTTGGTGTACGCTGTTGCTTTATGTCTCACTTTTAATTGAACATTAAGGAACGTAGTATTTTAATCATAACTCTGCCATTATCTTTATCTAGAGGACTGTTGCCATTTTTGTCTTTTCTGAAGTTTTTGTCACCAAGAAAGGCAGGATTATATATTTTTTTCCTTCCAGATTGAGTTGGTGTGGTGTATTCTTGGTTATCAAAATACTCATAGCTTTGGGACTTTAAAACAGTAAACATTCATAATTTGTGAAACAGCATGATACATAACTGTATGATCATACTTACATAAAAATGGATGTTTAGTTGTGCAACGCACAAATTAACCTAGAAGGACACATCAAATGGTAAACTGCCTGTGATTATGAATGACTTTGCTTTTTGCATTTTTTGGTTTCCCATTATGCATGTTAACTCTTAAGAAATAAATGTTATCTTAAAAATCTTAAAAAAAAAAAAGACAAGTTACTGGTCAGGTTCAAATTTAACCCACTCCTTGTCTTTTCAGTGGGTTCTTTCTTTTCCTTCTGAGGGCTAGGGCGTCCGAGTCAAGTTAATACTAGGTGACCTGTAGTACTGACTTTACCAGCATGGGTTCTAAGTTGGCTGTTTACTTACCTATATGGACTTCTCTAGCACTAAACTTTCAGGTAATTATAAACGGTGAATTTAAAAAAAATGTTTGAAAATATGTCTAGTAGCCTTTACTCCAGTGTTCTCAGAGAAAGAAAAAATCAAGAGGTAAGAAGAGAACTTTAAAAGGTGAGATTAACATTAAAAACTATTACCTTTCAGGTTACTGGCAAGATGCTGTTTTAGGTCTGGACTATACTGTGTCCAGTTTGAGCCTAAGCTGGGGTTTATAGGTGTCTGAACATAGCTTGTGGAATGGTAGGGCAGAGCCTCTTCAAAAGCATATTTGAGCCCTGGGAAAGCACTCATCGTCAGAGAAGAAGGAGCCAGGCATAATGAGCTTTTCTTAGTGACAAGGTGGTGATAAGACAGAAGGAGGCAGTTATGGGTGTCAGATACATCAGGGTATCTATCACTCAGATCTGTCTCCTACCTTTGTCTCCAGCAGGCTGATATTGGAGGGTTACTAAGGGCAGGCACACCTCTTGTGAACTGGAAATAGTGCCGGGTGAAAGGTGGCATTTTGCATGGAAGGGGCTGCTCAGGAAGAGCAGACTTGATTTTGATCACAAGTGAGATACAGTTGGAGATTTAGAGAAATACTTGGGGAATTTAGCAGACAGCTGAGTTAATTGAGTAAATGGGGGTAATGTGCTCTTGGAGATGGGCAGTTACAGTCAGTGTGCCTCCTTTTGTACTTACAGGTGGGTGAAGTCTGGAGAAACTCAAGTTATATAAGAACACAAAATCAACACAAAAGTCCTAGGAAATAATTGTACTTAAAGTTCAAAGCATCAGTTAGTGCTAATTTTGACATTTCTCTCTTACTCATCTTGCCTGTATCTTCCTTATCTTTCTTGAAACTAGTAAAAGTGTGAATAGGAATAACACCCATAGCAGAGCAACATATTTCTCTGGTTGTAAAAGGCTTTCCAGAAAAATGTCTACCACTAAAGGAAATAGACACCTCCACAAATCTTTGGCTTTTGAAGAATGAAATAAGTGGAAACTATGGAGTTAAATCCCTTTCTCTTTAGCAACAATCTCACCTAGTTAGTATCCCCCAAATTTGTATTTGTGCCATAACAACTTCAAAATAAAATCCAATACTTACTTGTCTCCCACAATTCCCAAGTTGATTGTGGGGTAACCATGTTCCTGAATTGTTGCTAAGAGGGTTGAACGATTGCTGTCTCGAATCTTTCCTGGTAAGAGGTCATCTTCAGGATTTAGCAACTACAAAGCCAAAAAAACCACCACAAATTATTTTCTTAGGATAATACTGCCTATTGTTAATGGGAAAAAAAAAAATAGATCTAATAAACAGACTTTAGCATATCTAGCACCTACAACATTATCTGGCATCAGAAAGATATATACTCAAAGGATCTTTGGTAAATAGTGAAAGCCAGGAGAATGAAAAAACATTTCTCCAGAATTAAAAAACATGCAGAAATTCAAGTGACTAAATAGTAGGTCAAATATCACACCAGCTTTGGCTATAATTTGACAAAATAGTGCTCTGGAGATAGTGGCTTTCCCATGGCTGTTTACTGGGTCAAACCGGACAAACTTTCTATTTTCTCTTTCACTATTATTTTCAAAACTGTCTTTCACTGAGAATACTTACGGTAGAGACTCTGCCATGATATTCTCAAGTCTGAAGAGACTGATATTTTATCTTTTCTTTCAAGCTTTTGGCTATCTTTTGTGAAGCGGGATCAGTAATACCAAAAAAGTTAAACTTATTTGAAGGAGAAGGAGCCAGATATTTTGTCTATATTAGCAAACTTAAACAAGTAATACTTAACTGCACACACTCACAATTCCATGACTTTGAACTGAATCACCCTTTAGAGATTTAATATCTACAATTATATGTCATAAAGAAAATTATAAGAAATTTCTTTTATGTTAGGATGTCCTAGTGAGGCAGTATGGCATAGTAGCAAGAATCTGCCTTATTCAGATGAGGTTCAAATTCAAGTTGCCCAAATATGTTATTCCATAATATTCCCATTTATAATACACAGTGGTGGTAATAACTACCTTGAAAGGCAGCTGTTAGGATTGAGATAATGAACACTCAGTTAATATAGATAAATAGGAAATAAATGCAATTCTCTGTCCTTTATTAAATATTGAAAAAGCACCTAATTCCTATTGCCTTAATATTGTTACTTCTACATGCTAGTATAGATGGAATCAGTTGATAATGTGAACATAGATTTACACTAGATTATAAAATACTAAAGAGTAGGTGGTCCTTAACACACACACACACACACACACACACTCAACATGCAACTTTATACAATTTTAAGATGTAGTTTGATTTCAGAAAATTAAAAATGAAAAAAAAGTACATCTTTGAAGTGAGAAAACCTGAAATATTATCTTAGGAGGCTGAAGTCAAGCCTGCATATTTCAGACACTTAGGCTGTTAATACAGTTAATACCTAGGGCTTTCTATATCAGTATTGCCAAACAGTAACCTCAAGTCCCTTCAGTCTTTCCTTCTGACCCATTAGTGATACCATGTGGCTGGACTTTTGGCTTTATGTTAGAAAAGTAGTAGCTTTTCAACCAACTGTCCCCTTAAAATATCTGGAGAAAGACTTTGATCATCTTATTCACTGTCACCTGGGAGACTTCCCTTCAAATCCTGTACTAATCTAACTTAATCAGATGCCATGTGACACTGCAACCCACTCGTATCCTTTGTCACTGGCAGAGCTGGGAAAACTGCTATTGCAGTACTAATATAGGTTGATTTTCTGATCTTAACTAACACATAGTTATTGAACTTATTATAATTTTATAAAGGCCAAGACTTACAGCTTTTTAACTGCATTAATCAGACAAGTTGCAACGGACAGAAAAGATTTTTTTCACAAAGGGTACTGACCACCAACTAAGGAATAAGATTTCCCTGATAATAGGGCGTTTTCTTTGCCATTCATGTTCCTCTCTGTTATTCTGCTGCACAAAGTTCCAGAAATAATAGAACAATTAGAGGTCACTGGCTGTTTGTCTGTAAAACTGACATAATGAAATATTAGCTAGTTAAATGAAGGTGTGGGATTTCCAGAGCATTTGAAGTATTTTCAAAGAAAATATACAGAATTGAACGAAAGATTATAAGGTTGCATACACTAGAATAAATTCACAATATTCCTCATTAAAATGGAATCTAATTTTCTGACATCTTCTGGTCATCTCTAGAATGATGCCTAAAACTTATTATAGTTAAAATGCAAAAGAAAACCTACAATATAAAGTAAAAAAACTTAACCCATTATCTTCATATCTTATTACTTTCTTATCTGCCAAATGCCAAATTTCAATTTCCTGTTTCTGTTACCATCAATGGTGCCATTGTATTTCCAGCTTTCAAACATTTAACCTTTGATTTTTTTCCCTTTGTAGTCTACTATCTTCCCAAAGGTTTCAATCCTTAATTCTTACTCCATTCCTCAATGACCCTAGGTTTCCATTCACTCTCTTATCAACTCCCCATTCTTATGAATTTCAGGTATTCAATATATCTGAATTTTTTCAAAAGCCTTATAATTGGCTATCTTGCCAACAAACTCTTTTTTTCTGAGAGAAAATAGATACATCAACTTGCAAAAGAAGCAAAGTATACCAAACCATGATATTTAACACAAACTATCTTAAGTCAAATTGTTATAACACAAGATTATTCAGACCTATATACTCCTATAACATCATGGACAAATAGAGACAATGGTAAATCCATATGGACTCTTACTCCAAAGAAAAAATGAAGCTGTTTCAGCAATTCACCTACTTTACAAAATGTGATCAGTCTCTGCCTAGACCACATTTACAAACTACCTTACAACCAGCCCATGACCAATCCCAGTCCTCAAAATCCTATAAGTATCCTTTTGAGGGCACGGCGCAGGAGCGGCCAAGAGGAGATACCCCATGTCCAAGATCAGGAGTGACAGCAGAGAGGAGATACTCCATGTCCAAGGTCAGTACCGGAGGCCGTGAGGAGATACCCCAAGTCCAATGTAAGGATCAGCGGCTGCACTTTGCTGGAGCAGCTGTGAAGAGATACTCCACGTCCAAGGTGAGAGAAACCCAAGTAAGACAGTAGGCGATGAAGGAGGGCATCAGAGGGCAGACAGACTGAAACCACAACCACAGAAAACTAACCAATCTGATCACATGGACCACAGCCTTGTCTAACTCAGTGAAACTAAACCATGCTGTGTGGTTGCACGGGTCATGGTGGAGAGGTCTGACAGAATGTGGTCCACTGGAGAAGGGAATGGCAAACCACTTCAGTATTCTTGCCTTGAGAACCCCATGAACAGTGTGAAAAGGTAAAAAGATAGGACACTGAAAGAGGAACTCCCCAGGTCGGTAGGTACCCAATATGCTACTGGATATCAGTGGAGAAATAACTCCAGAAAGAATGAAGGGACGGAACCAAAACAAAAACAACACCCAGTTGTGGATGTGACTGGTGATAGAAGCAATATCCAATGCTATAAAGAGCAATATTGCATAGGAACCTGGAATGTTAGGTCCATGAATCAAGGCAAATTGGAAGCGGTCAAACAGGAGATGGCAAGAGTGAATGTCAACATTCTAGGAATCAGAGAACTAAAATGGACTGTAATGGGTGAATTTAACTCAGATGACCATTATATCTACTACTGTGGGCAAGAATCCCTTAGAAGAAATGGAGTAGCCATCATAGTCAACAAAAGAGTCTGAAATGCAGTACTTGGATACAATCTCAAAAACGACAGAATGATCTCTGTTCGTTTCCAAGGCAAACCATTCAATATCACAGTAATCCAAGTCTATGCCCCAACCAGTAATGCTGAAGAAGCTGAAGTTGAACGGTTCTATGAAGACCTACAAGACCTTTTAGAACTAACACCCAAAAAAGATGTCCTTTTCATTATAGGGGACTGGAATGCAAAAGTAGGAAGTCAAGAAACACCTGGAGTAACAGGCAAATTTGGCCTTGGAGTACAGAATGAAGCAGGGCAAAGGCTAATAGAGTTTTGCCAAGAGAACGCACTGGTCATAGCAAACACCCTCTTCCAACAACACAAGAGAAGACTCTACACATGGACATCACCAGATGGTCAACACCGAAATCAGATTGATTATATTCTTTGCAGCCAAAGATGGAGAAGCTCTATACAGTCAGCAAAAACAAGACCAGGAGCTGACTGTGGCTCAGATCATGAACTCCTTATTGCCAAATTCAGACTTAAATTGAAGAAAGTAGGGAAAACCACTAGACCATTCAGGTATGACCTAAATCAAATCCCTTATGATTATACAGTGGAAGTGAGAAATAGATTTAAGGGACTAGATCTGATAGACAGAGTGCCTGATGAACTATGGACGGAGGTTCGTGACATTGTACAGGAGACAGGGATCAAGACCATCCCCATGGAAAAGAAATGCAAAAAGGCAAAATGGTTGTCTGAGGAGGCCTTACAAATAGCTGTGAAAAGAAGAGAAGCGAAAAGCAAAGGAGAAAAGGAAAGATATTCCCATTTGAATGCAGAGTTCCAAAGAATAGCAAGGAGAGATAAGAAAGCCTTCCTCAGTGATCAATGCAAAGAAATAGAGGAAAACAATAGAATGGGAAAGACTAGAGATCTCTTCAAGAAAATTAGAGATACCAAGGGAACATTTCATGCAAAGATGGGCTCAATAAAGGACAGAAATGGTATGGACCTAACAGAAGCAGAAGATATTAAGAAGAGGTGGCAAGAATACACAGAAGAACTGTACAAAAAAGATCTTCATGACCCAGATAATCATGAAGGTGTGATCACTCAGATTCACCTATGGCTGGACATCCTGGAATGTGAAGTCAGGTGGGCCTTAGGAAGCATCATGATGAACAAAGCTAGTGGATGTGATGGAATTCCAGTTGAGCTATTTCAAATCCTAAAAGACGATGCTGTGAAAGTGCTGCACTCAAAATGCCAGCAAATTTGGAAAACTCAGCACTCTATCAAGGTGATGCTCTCCCTTGTTCAGAAACTTTATTATACACAGCTCTGTATGATCAGCAGGTTTCCCAGGTGGTCTCTGTAGTAAGATCATGATAGTCATTGAAGTCCCCACCACACTTAGGCAAGACCTCATGCCAGCAGTATTCTCATTTTGTTTACATTGTACTTTACTGAGGTCTTCTAAGTCTGTGTTGGGAGAAGTTGTTATCTAAG